AAAAAAAGTAAGATGCAAGAGGCTGGTGGTTAAAGGTGCCGAATGGCAGTCAGGCTGCCTGGGTTTGAATTCCAGATCTTTCTCATAGCATCTGTGTGACAGGGGGCGTGATAAGAATTCCTGTCTCCTCAGGTTACTGAGTTGCCTGGATTAAACGGGTTCAAACGCATGAGGCCCTCAGATCAGTGACCGGTCGCAGAGCAAGTGGCCAGTAACAAATAACTGCTAAAATGTGCTAGCAGCCCTCCGGCTCGCCCACACAGGGTCTGCTCCAGGACCCCCAGGGCATGCCTGAAACCGCAGGGGGCGCCGAGCCCTGTACATATTGTGTTTCTCCTATGCACACCTACCAGTCACAAAGTTTACCTTAGAAGTTAGCCACAGTAAGACGTTAACAATAACTAATAACACAGACCAATTATCACAATGTATTGTAATAAAACTTCTGTGAGTGTGGCGTTTCTCTCAAAATATCGTACTGCACTCACTCTCTTTGTGATGATGTGAGAGGGGAAAGTGCCTACCTGATGACACAGGCGCTGTGACACAGCCTTAGGCTGACCTTCTGAGGCGACTTCGGAAGGCGGGTCACCTGCTTCTGCACGGACCGCCATTGAGCACGGGTAACTGGAACCGTTGTACTCAAGGCAGCTTCTCTGGGAGGGAAGGAGGCGCCGTAGTGGGCTCCAACTCTTCCTTCCCTCGGGGGGATAAAGTGCCCTTGTTCTTACAAAAACACCAACAGCCGCATGCCGAGTCTTCCCAGGCGCCGGGCCCTTGGCCCCTCTCTGGGGTCCCAGAGGCTCAGAGAGAGGTAGTCATTTGCCTGAAGTCACACAGCTCGTAAGAGGCCAAGCTGGAGCTCAGACCCAGGTCTGGCTGGCTCCAGGACCCCGTGCCCGTAGCTCCAGCGCCGCCCCACTGAGTCAGCGAGCGAGAGTTGGCCTGCCCGATGGGACCGACTAGGCATTTGGAAAGGGGACCGTTTGAAGCCTGGTGCCTCCTTCTAGATTAAGTATTGTTATGGTGAGGGGATAGATGGAGCTCCCCCTACCCCACCCCCATCCTCCCCCCCTCTCCATCCACACACTTGCTCAAGGGCAAAAATGCAAACCTTGGCCAAACCATCCTTCTGGCCAATGAGCACCCCGTAGTGTGGACTGAGTACCCTTGGGGGGGCCCATCAGTCCTGGGTGCCCCTCACCCAGCACCACCCAGCAGAGATTTGAGGAGGGGGCAGTGAGCCAGACCAAGGCTGGAAGAAGCAGCCTCACCTCAGCCCTCCCTGAGCACCCGTATGGGCCGCAAGCCTAGGTCCCTTCCTGAATGGCCCTCCTCTGCCCCAAGCCATGCTTCCAGGGAGAAGGAGAAGCCCCGAACTGGGAGACACACTGGCCCCAGTGACCTTAACAGGGACACTGCTCAGCTGCCACTAGCTTCCACCCCGTACCATCTTCCTCCTCCTCCTCCTCCTCCTCCTCCCTCTCCTCCTCCTTCTCTTCCTCCTTCTCCTCCCCCCTCCTCTCCTCCTCCTCCTCCTCTTCCTCCTCCTCTTCTTCATTCGGCAAACAAGGATGGGGCTGAAGTGTCCAGAGGGAGGCTGCCGCCTCAGGATGGCATCTGTAACAGCCAGGGCACCACCCCTGGCTGGTCTGCCAGGCTCAGAGGCCACTGGCCTGTCTCCCCGGAGCCTGCCAGACCTCAGGCCTGTGACCTGACAACCCCATTGAGTCCAGGGGTGTCGGCTGAGACAAGCTGGGGCAAGATGGCGATAAAGGGAAAGGATCAGGCTGGGACTCGGACCCCAGCTCTGCAGCTAACACACTGGGTCAAGTTCCGCTGTCCCTCCGGGCCCTTTAGGCTGTGATGCTCCATGATTTGGGCTGGAAGGGAGATCGCGTGGGTCATCCCATGGGTGATGGTGGCTGCCTGGACTGTCAGGGAGGGAGAACCTGGAGTAGGGGCGGTCAGAGCAGCATGGCATGCTCTGGATAGACAGCGAAGAGAAGGGAAGGCTTTCCAGGTCGAGAGTTCTGTGTGCGAAGGTATGGAGGCGGGACTAGGAGGGCATTTTCAGAACAGCAAACAAGCGCATTTGACCGGAACGGAGGGTAGGTCTAAAGCCGGGTGAGATCTGAGGCTGGCAAAGTGGGGAAGGTTGGATGGCGAAGCGGCCTTAATAGCCTGCAACCAAAATGCCATTGAGTGGTAGATGTCCTTCTTGGTATCTGTCTCGGGAGGGAGTCCCTTTCTTTATTTAGCCTGTTTGTATCCTTTCCCCAACACCGTCAGGCCAAGAGCCCCAGCGCAGGGGAGAGCCCCGGGAATACGGCATTAGTGACTCTGAGATATCAGATAATGGGATAGGAGACCTGGGGTGGGATTAGGAAGGGTAGGGAGCCCGAGAGCTGTAGTCGCCATATTTAAACCTCCGAAGAGCTTTCTAGGGAACAGACACTTGTTCTTTGTAAACTTAAAGGACAGGACATGCAGTCCCAGAGGGGCAGGTGTCAGTAGGAATACTAGGAAGGACTCTCCAAGAGTCTGTCCAAAGAGAGATGAGGTGATTGAGCTCCCCGTCCCCAGAGGTATGCAAGCTTAGCACGGACACTGTGGAGAGAAATCAAGTTAGAAGAGTTTGAGCCTCGTGGCCTTTCCCACACCAGCCTGGAACTTCACATCACAGCCCTGGCTGCCTTAGGACTGAACTCCCCTGCTGCCTGGATGTCAGATTCCCAGCTAGGCATGACATCAGTTCTGCCCTGACTTCACAAAGGCCCTCTGGGGACCCTCCTCCCCTCCACTTCCTTTCACCCCACTGCTGCTTTTCGTCCTTCCCAGGGAACCCACCAGGCCTGACCAGGGAGACCTGGAGCCTGCTTGTAAGACTGGGTCTCCAGGGAGCATTCAGCCGATGGCCTTCCACCCCAGCAAGAATGAGGCAGAGGGGGCCCGGGTCCCTGGGAGCTCTGTTCACACGCCCCCAAGAGTCTACATGGAAATTCCAGGAGGGTCACAGGGAAGCTTCCAATTTAGAACAAGACGCTGTATTTTTGTCCCTATTTCTTTCCCGTCCCTCTTTTCCCTTAGCAGTGGGTGGGGGTGTCACAGGAGGCTGTAAGAGGAAAGCAAGCCTCTTTGGGCTGAGTCACAGAGAGGCTGGGTGTGCAGAGATGGGCCGTGGGCAGATAGGAAGGGGAACCACATAGGGCAGCCGTGTGGGAAAGAGTAGAGAGAGGCCAGGGCAGAGCCACCGGGACAGCCAGGCCTCGGCAGTGACACCAGAGCTCCGTGAGTTCTGGGTTCAGGCTGGGCTCAGAGAATCAGCCCGGGTTCAGGATTGGGGTTCCCAGGAACCTTGGGCACTGGGTCCCCACCTCCATGGATTATAAAGCTACAGAGTAGTACTGAATCCCTCTCACTCAGCCTGGCGATCCTAGCAGATGCTTAGTCATCATTCCTGGTGTTGAATTTTAAACTCATAGTGTCATTATCCTGTTAGAGCGAAAAGGGACCTAACAAGAGCGTGTTATAGATGTGGAACCTTGAGGCCAACAGCGGGGTGGGGTGGGGGAGGGACTTGCCCAAGATGGCACTGCCAGGGTGGCCGCCTAGCCCGGTGCATCCTCCTTTGCCTCTTCCCTGCCTGTATCCAGAGATGGAAGCTACGATATGGTCCTCAAAGCCAAGGGAAGGGGACAGAAGAGAGGCAGGTGCCCCCCCCCCCCCAGGACATAACTATCCCCAAGAAGTAGTCAAAAGATGACGGTGTATCTTGAGTTCTAACTGCTCTGCTCAGGAACGCTCTTTTCCTGCCCAGAGATAGTCCCTCACGTTGTCAGCTGCTGCAGACGGGAGGCCTCCTGCAGAGGAAAGAGCCCAAGGCTGGGAGGGGAAGCCCTTGGTTCTATTCTTGGCTCTGCCTCAACCCTCCATATGACCTTGAGCATGACCATGAGTATGAGGTCTTTTCTGGCCTCAGTGTGTTCAGAGCGGGGCTGGACCCAACCAGCTTAAACAGTCAGAGATTCCACCCATGATCTGCCTCAGTCTCCCCTCCTCTCTCCCTGTCTCGTTCCATCTAAGCTTTTGCCTGAGCACAGGAAGTCAGCCAGGACGGAAACAGCAACCTGCAGATTCCCCTCTACTGGGAGCAGCATCCTCTATGCCCCAAGCTCTGCTGTCCAGCCTCGGAATTCCCAGAGAGGCGAGAAGCTGGAACGGCCCTGAAGATCACCCCAGTGGGGGAATCAGAGACCAGAGAGGTCCAGCATATTGCTCAAGGTTACACAGCAAACCATGTGCAAATGGGAAGTGGGCCCTTGGGTCCCCCGATGCCCAGACCCGTGCTCTCTCCACTAACCATGCTGCCCTTTAGAGTAATGGGCATGTTAGCCATCCACACGTGAGCCTGGGATCTATTTACCTTGACACCCCAAACGTCCACACAGTCTCTTTCCCTCTCTGGGATGCAGTTTCTTCTAAAAACAGGGAGATGGGGTGGACCAGATGTTTCTCTAAGGTCTTGCACTCCATCACTGGGGCTCCACCAGGACCCCAGGGCTTTCCAGTGTGGCCACCCCAGCCCTCTCTTCACAGACGATGGAGCTACCCTCTCCCACTCCCCCCAACCGGCCAGGACATCCCACCAAGTCACAGACCTCACCCAGACTGTCCCACCCTGGACCCCAGGGCTGGGCCTCATCCCGAACTACAGGCTCCTGGCCCAGCTCCCCCTCTGGGGATCTGAATTTTTCTTACCATAAAAGGGCAAGCGTGCCTCTCTCTCCGTCCCTGCTGCCAGCCCCGCTGGGGGAAAGGCTGAGCTATTTTTAGAAAACTCAAGGGTTTGCTCCTGGACTTGAGATGGAGCTTGTCGGAGCCTGGAGCCTGCAGCCCGGGGAGCCCCTTCCCCATCTCCCTCGCCCGCCTTCTCTCCCTCTGCCCCTCTTCTCACCCCTCACCCCCTCTTCACTCACTTTCTTCCTCGCCCTGCCTCTCTCCCTCTTGCCCTTCTGGTCAATGACTCCTCCTTCTTCCTCCCCGTCTCCTCTCTCTTCTCCCCCATCTCATACACAGCTCCCCTCCCCCCTCCCCCATCCCCTCCTTCAGATCCGGCTTTTGGAAGATGGAGAAAGTAACACATCTTCACCCCCATCCCCTTCTTAAACACTATTTACAACATAAATTCCAAACATCCGCCATCTGGTTCTAGGAAGGGCCAAAAGATATTTAGAAAAGGAAGTCATGATTATTCCATCTTCAAAGCCAAAGGAACTTAAAGGCCCCCTCTCTCCCGCCTCCCTCCCAGGGCCTCTTTGTTAAGATCTAACAGATTAGGATCCCTCCGTGAGTAGAAAGAGCCAGTCCCAGCTGGGCCTCTGACTGCATCACATTGAGCGGGTTGCTTCTCCTCTCCGTACCTCGGTTTTCCTCATCCGAGCAATGGGCGCGAGACGAGGTTGCCTCCAGCACTAACGTTCTGAGACTTTGAGTCCTGCTGCAGAAAACCCACCTGGCCCAGGTCCCTGTGGCCTGCTCTGGGCTGAGCATAGGGTGGGCTAGCAGGGGAAGTGAGTCAGAGCCAGCGGGGGAGTTCCAGCCTCAACCTTCGGTGCCCCTTCTCTCTCGCTCCGTGGAGATCCATGCAGACCGTCCACCTTCCATCACACTGACACTAACACCAAGGGGATGGGCTGCGGTCAAGCCATCCCCCCAGTGGGATACCATGGAGTCCGGTCCCCTCCCCACCACATCACAGTGAGGCCCAGAGAGGGGAAGGCTCTTTCCGCAATCACACCGCGTGTCCACAGGTGACCTGGATTCTAACCGGCTGCTCTTCCCATCCAGCACGCGCCAGAAGAAACCAGCATTTGTAGTATCCAGAGAGCGTCGCTCAGAGCCAGCAAACCGGGACCCTGGAGGCCCCACTTCTTTGCAAAGTGGACAGGGCAGAAGGGAGAACTAATCCCTTTACTGCGGTTGGTTGGTTTTAAACAGACAGCACGCTAGGGAGAAGTACAAGAGGCATAACGAAAATGGAAAGCCTCCCTGCTTCTGGAGATGTGCACCTTTGCCGGGGTCCGCACACCTCCGTTTACTCTGCAAATGCTTCTTTGCCCACAGCCCCGTTTCCACCTCAGTGAACACAGGCCTGACGAAACGCCGTGAGACACTCACCCAGGCTGTCGCTCTATAAAAATGGCGCCGGGGATAGTCGGGTCTCACGGGGCAGCCGTGAAAACGCGTGTTGGGCTGGCCGAAGCCCATCCTGAGCCTGACGCTCACCGGCCGTGTGACCTTGAGGGAGCGCTATGACCTCTGCGAGCCTCAGTTTCTCCGTCTGGAAAATGGGAGTGAAAACGGTACGCAACTCCTCTACGTGATTGTGAGAAAGCCAGCGCAAAGCACTTAGCGAGCGTGGGGCGCATCGAAAGCTCTTATTAGGATCACAGCAGGTCCCGGCGTAAGTGGGTGGTGGCTACTGTAACTGTCACTGTGTGTCCCTGCCTTTGTTCTCACTGGAAGGTCACGGTGAATGAGAAGCACGGGGGTCCTCTAGCCCCCAGCCTCCCGGGGCCTGAGCACCAGGCTTGGTATTAGGGGCCAGGCAGGTGGAACCCCCTTCCTCTCCCTCTCTTCCTCCATCACTCTCAGTTCAGCCTCAAACTGCATTCCCAGGGCTTGCTCAAAAGTCCCCAGCAGCAGCCTTCCCTGGGGAGGAAGTAGGGAGCGTGTGAGGCTAGTGAACTCAGCGGGGGTGTCAAGGGGGTGGGAGGGCGCCCTGGGAAACAGAGGCCCGGAGAAGCCGCATCACAGAGGGGACATGGAAAGGGGCCCCACGTGGTGGCTCCCACCCCAGCATCCACATCTTCTGTGGATGCCTCTCTGGACCTTTGCCCCCATCCTTCCTGCTTCCCTCCCTCCCAAGCCTATGCCTCACTGTGGGTCCAGCCCCGGGCTCATAATGGAAATGCAGCCATGTACGTGGGCTCCCTACATGCCAGCGACTGCGCCTGCACTTGACACGGACCTCAGCTGACCTTCACAAACAAGCCTGAGGTCGGGGACCAAGTTCAGAGAGGTGAAGCCACCAGCTCTTGGTCACACAGCTAGAAAGAGCTAGGGGGAGGTTCGGTGCAGACCTGCCTGGCTGCAGGGCCTGGGTTCTCTGTTCTTTGCAAACGTATGGTGGAAATCCCAGGACCCTGGAGTCCAAAGAGGGCACAGGCTACAATACGTGTACATGCGTGAGGGAGCAAGGAAGGGGAGCTGAGGGCAAGGAAGCCCCTCCAGGGGGACCCGGCTGTGCGCACGGTTTCCTGTGCTTGCGAGGAGCTTCGAGCTCAGCCCTCTCCCACTGTGGTGCCATCTGGCTCCCAGATGTGGCCCATTCCCAGGCCCTCGTGTTTCTTGGAAGTGAGCAAAGCCAGCAGAGGGCACAGCGGCTTTTGCAATGACCGTAACGATGTGAGCTTTGTTTCGGGGTCATCCAGCTCAGGCTGGATGCTCAGGCTGGATGGAGCATGAGCTGCCCTGGGTTCAGGCTTCCTTCTGATTCTTGCCAGTGGATGACGCTGGGCACACTGCAGAGCCACTGAGAACCTCGGTTAAGCGGGGAAGTTACTCCTACCCCTGGCGGAGGTGGTACCTTCAGTTATGGAAGGAAGCACTTTGTAGGGTGAAAGCCTTGTGCAGCTCGAAGCGGTCACGGGTGGCCCAAGGGCTGTCCCCTCGGCCTTGGCCACTGTGGTAACCCAAAGTTTGGACCTACCCCTAAATGGCTCATTTCTGACGTCTGAGGCCGGAGGTGGAGCCATTGGTCAGAGGGGCCTCTGGGAAACTTTCTTCCAGACCCATTGTTTCGCGTTGGGGCCTTAGTGTGCTGGGAAGGGACCGTGGCCCCTGCTGCTCTTGGAGCTTAGAGCTGCTCAGAACACTCCCTTGGAAAGCTGGGCAGGTAAAGTGGGGACAGTGGCTGCCTAGGGACTGAGGAGCAGGCTCTTTGGAGCGTGGAAGATCCTAACAGCCTCAGCCTCAGACTTCTGGGGACCCAGCAGGAGGCCAGGCCCATATTCAGTCCCTCAGAGCCCAAAAGCCCAGTCAGGACCCACGGACGGCAGGGCTCTGGCCACAGGGCTCCCCAGCATCCTTCTGAAAGGCTGTATCTTTGTTTCTTTCAGGCAAGGGCACTGGCCGGTGGGAGCCACTCTTGCAACGCTGACATTGGACGAGCAAGCACCCCAGAGAGAGCCTCCTGAGGACCAGAGGGGAGGGCAGGCGGCAGAGGCCCTGAAAACAGAGCTGTGAGTGCCTCCCCCACGCCTTCCACAGCCCCAGCCCTGCCACTGGGGGCTCCCGCAACAGCCCTGCGCCCCAGGATACCTCCCCATCCCGACCCCCAGAATGACCAGGAAACCAGGCCTTGCACTGGGAAGAGTTGAAGGAAGGCCCTGCTGACGGAGGGGGTGTGGGCCATCAAAGCTGCTACATGTGGGCTGTAGGAGAAAAGAAGTGAAGTCAGAGAAGGGAAAACCAAGCCGGAGCTAGAAATCCACCCCACCCTACGCTCCCTACAAGCTGGCAACGAAAGCCTCTGCGCTACGGCGGAACGACAGCCTTGGGGGAGGACAGGAGAGTTCCCTGGGAAGGAGTACACAGGGTCGGGCTCCAGAAGCAGACAGACCTGGGCGTGGTGAGCCTGGTGATAACCAGCTCACAGGGCCTCGAAAGGGTCTGTGAGGTCAGGCGTGTGCCCACTGCTGGGCACACGGCGAAGCCCGAGAAACCCGTCATAGCTTTCGTCCCTTCTACCACATTCTTCAACACTCGCCAGCTCTCATTCCCCGCGGGTGGAGCAGGCAGGGGTGAGGTACCAGCTCCCTAAGGCAGGTAGAGACACGGAGGCAGAGAGAAGCCGAGGCGCTCACTCTCAGAGCGGGGTTCCGGCACCGGGTCCCAGGAGGGTTGGAAAAAGTGGACAAAGACCTGATGGCGGGAGAGGGGGAGGCAGGGCTCTGGCAGGGAGCTGACACTCCAGGACAGGTGACGAGGCCCAGGCCTGGCTTATATAATGCAGCACACCTGTTCACCTCTGCACACGCCCCACGCTCGTTTGTGCAAGCAAACGTGGGCCCCCACACAGCACACACCCCCGGGCCCTCACTCGCTAGCCAATGAGCGTCAGAGCCCTGGCCTGAACAAACTGGATTAGGAGGGCTGCAGACACCTCTCCCCGCTCGTCGCCTCCCCCCCCCCCCCCCCCCCCGCCTGCACTGTCCAGCTCCGACACTGAGCAGACCTGCGGGGCGGCCAGCTGCTGTCCCTCGGCCATGCTGACAGTCTGTCCTCCGTCCTGGAGACCTGTCCCTGGGCCCCCAGGAAGAGGGCTGGGGGTCTGAGAGGATGCCGGGATGACGGATGGGCTGGCCCAAGAGCACACAGGATGTCAGTGCTTGTGCAAGGCTCATCTCTGAGCTGTTCCCAGCAGCCCGTCCCCTCCTCCCCTCCCACCTCCCTTCCCAAAGCCTCTCCCGTGATCACTGCCACCAGGGCCCAGAGCCCCGGCTCCCAGCAGACCCATCCTCGTCAGTCCCACAGCTGGGCAGGCGAGAACTGGTCAGCCTGGGAAAAGATGGCCTGGGGACAAGACACAAGAGAGAGAGAAAAAAGAGCTTATGAACAGAGACAATGCCGATTATAAAGGTGACATCTCAGTGTGTTCTCATGCATCGTTTTGTTCCATCATGAGAGTGGGCCTGGGAGTTGAGAGATTGTGCCCATAGCACAGATGTGACTACTGACGTCTGCTATTCAGGGATTCCACAGCTCCCCTTTCGTGAGCCCTGAGTCTGCTCCAGCCCCGAATGGGGTGCTGGGAACACCGGGATGAACGCCTTGGTGCGCCCATCGCTAAACAGGTCAGGCTCCTTTGGGCTTGGCCGCTGGGCACTGGGGGGCCCCCGGTCTTCTGAGGGAGCGGCACCAGTAGATAGATGCCTCTTCCATATGGCACAGGTGAGCGGCTGAATATTACAGCGAGAGCAGCCTTAGCAAGCAGCCCATTCCAAACACAGACCCTGAAGGCCGACAGCCCCAAGTTCAAACCCTGCCTTTCTAGCTGGAGAGCTGTAGTCCAGCCGGCCTCGCCAAGCGCGTTTTCCCTTCTGCAAAATGGAGGTACAGAAGCTCCCCTTCGTGGGACTCACCGTGAGGATTAGTCAGTACTTTTCATACCCTCATTTGACACAGGGAGACACAGAGGTGGGAGAGGGAAAAGGCCTGGCCAAGGTCACAGTGCAAGTTGGGGATTAAGTCGGGACCAGGTAGAAACTCTCTTCCTCCACCCCTCATCCCAGTATAAATCCTCCCCACGGTGGGGGTGGGGAGGTGGGGAGGGGGCTGGCTGGCTGGCTCAGTCCGTTAGGTTAAGCTTCTGACTTTGGCTCAGGTCACGATGTCACAGTTCGTGAGTTCGAGCCCTGCCTCAGGCCCTGTGCTGACAGCTCAGAGCCTGGAGCCTGCTTCAGATTCTGTGTCTCCCTCTCTCTCTGCCCCTCCCCCGCTCACGCTCTCTCTCAAAAATGAATAAACATTAAAAAAAAATCCTCCCCACGGGCTCCACCCCAAGTAGCCTAGAGGCCATGACAGGCGGCTAAGCAATAGAGGCAACTATGGAGACATATCCTGGGACCCACCCCGTACCTTCAGCCCTGCCGCAGCCTCGGCAGCACCAGAGGCCCAGGTGCCCAGCAGTGGCCCCCAGCCCTCAGTGGTGGTGGAGGGTGGGGGAGTGCAGTGACAGTGACGGCTCTGGCCCAGAGCAGCCTGCCCATATAAGGGAAGGAGCTGGGGAGGCCTCCTCACTTGGGCCTGGCGAGAAAACCCAGACAGCCACTGTTTATTTTCTCCTTCCCAGCCTCCCCGGAGCTTCCCAAGAAGACAGAGGCTCCCCCGGGCTGGGCTTGGCGACATTTCCTGAAGACAGTAGGGAGCAGTGAGGGGAAATTGGCCCGTTTCTGGGAGCAACGCCGCAGATTGCCAACAGCCGGCACCAGGTAAGAATCTGCCCGCTATGAGTCTAAGGCCACCTGCTCAAGTGTCTCCTTGGACACAGGGGAAAGGGAGCCACAGAGAGGGGAAGCACGTGGGAGAAGTGACCACACCGGTAGAACTCAGGTCTCCCAAATGGCCCGTTGTCTCCTGACTGGGGACCAAGAGTAAGAAGGAGCCTCTGGTGGGGTAAGTGGAATAGGAGGGCTGTCGACCTCCTTCTCATCTGAAGGAGACCAGGGGTCAGGGCCAGCACTGTCTGCCTGCTGGACAAGTAAGAGAGACTCAAGGGAAGAGTTCTTGGGCAAGAGGACACACTTCCTGCATCTCTGCCCCTCCTCCCAGCCTACCACCCCCTCCTCCAGGAAGTCCTCCCAGCTCCCCCCCTGGGGCAGGAACCTCTTTGTCCTCTAAGACCTTGGCAGTCCTTTCTTAGGCTGTCCCTGGTGCCACTTGGATCTGTGCCCTATTCACCTTGCCAGGGACATTCTTCTTCCATTTCAGCCTGACTGCACCCCTCCAGGGCAAGGACATCAGTCCCACCTCCCCTCGGCACATAGAAGTCACCCTAGGCTTGCTGGATGGGGAGGTGAAATGGTGAGACCCTGTCTCAGACCCAAAGGATTGGTAAATTGGCCAGGGGAGGAGACATTGGGCATAGAGGTTAAAGATGAGGGAGCCGGGGTTGGCTGTTCTGAGTTAGGAACCCAGCTCAGCTCCTAACTCCGTGGCCTTGGAAAATTCCCTTCTCACAGAGCCTTGGGGATACGGGGGGATTAGCACAATTAAAACAGTCAACAAATGACTGCTCTTATTACAGTCGGCGTCACTGTGATTTTCCTAGCTACAAGGAACAGAAAGAAGTACGCAGCCTATAGCCAGAGGAGAAGCAAACAGCTTCCCCCAAAGGCTGCTCATGGAGCCCTGTCCCTGCATCACTTTCTCCCACGGGAACATGGGCCTGCCTCCCATCTACTTCCTGTTTCCATACGCAGGAGGGGGGCTCTCTCGGCCACAATATTCGGAGCCTAATGGGATGTGCGGAAACAGCCCGCGCCTCCCCTGGTTCGAGCCAGGCTGTGCCCACAGAACCATCTCCTCCCCGTCCCGGTCCCCCGCGTGGAGGTCACAACATACCCCTGCCGGCCTCACCCGCTGTCCTGAAGGTCCAGCGTCACGGGGCGCAGTTCCCGAGCTGCAGTCACGCAGACGCCCCCTTTCGTATGTTTGCCACATCTGCAAACCGTCACAAGAGTTTTACATTTAACACGAGTCACTGGCAATAGGTACGTACAAATCGCTACCGTTCATGAGAAACTCTAACACTGCTCGTGACGAGGAGACGAAGGTAAGAAAAAGCAGAGCGAGCCCCAGGCGGTGTGATTACCGTCCCCCTGGTACGTGGCTTGCAAGGGCCTGGGCCTGAGGCCTGAGACCCGAGGGGAAGACGCGGGGACGCCAAAGGTGGGCAGCTGAAGGCTTCAGAAAGAGTTGTGCAGCAAGGGACGCGGGAGGCTGGCTTTATCAGCTTGGTTCCCGGAGCCCTGGAAAGTTCACTCTGTCGGGACAGCCCCCGGCCCCCAGCTTCTTACTGAAAGCTTCAAGCTGTCAGGCCCAGCACGTTCTCTCGTAGGGCTGGTGGGAGAGTGGTGTGGACAGGCTGTGGGCTGTCCAGGACCCCGAAGGTGGGTTGTTGGAATCATTCCCCAGCTAAACGCAGTTTGGAAAGAGTTCCTACAGGAGAATTCCATATTAAAGAAAGGCATTTCTTTGGCTGGGAGTACCTCAAGATGGGGCTGTCCCTCTCAGGAGGCCGTGGGGACTGAGCTGCTCCAAGTAGCAGACCAGAGAGAGAGAGACTCTTGATTCGGGCCAAATTTCAGATTTCTGATAGAGGCACAGGAGATACTTTTTTTTTTTCTTTTTTTTAAGGAAGTGTGTGGTTTTTTGCTCTCTGCTAAGGAGAGGATACCCACCGCCTCCCCCCTTAAGCCTTCAGATATCTCTGAAAGTATACGTCATGCACCACATGTCGCCACATATCAAGGCCACCACAGTAGACATCCAGGAACGCAGGAAGGTCCTCTGGGGGTTCCCCGAGAACTTGGCGGGGCAGGAGGGACCGAGGGAGCTCTGCCTGCTCACTCAGAGGTTCCCACCCAAGCCCGCTCTCAACAGAAAAACAATTTATCTCCGTGGCCATTCATTCATCCACCAAATGGCATTCCCTGGGGCCCAGTATCACGTACAAAAACTGCAGCAAGGCCCAAGGACACCCCTAAACCCACAAATGTGGGCGCTCTCCTCAGGGAACTGGATACTAGCCCAGTCAGGCCCACGTGCCATTTGCAGCCTGACCCCGGAAAGAAACAGATCGAGGAAAACAATTCAGCCATTCAACCAATGCTTAATGAGCGTCTACACGGGGGAACCTACCTTCAGCGGTGAGCCCAGCCAGCCGGGTCCCTTCCCTCACAGGTGGTCCACACAGCCCACAAGTGGGGGAGGTCAGAAAAGAGAATTGCACACCACGTGTGACACAGGATTAGAAAGTGGACACAGCATGTGTGAGGACGTTGACCAGGGCTTCCTGATGTCTGAGGCGGTGGAGGAGGGCTTCCCAGAAAAAGCAGCCTTTTGAGTAGGCACGGAGCACTGGGAGAGGAGTCAGCAGGGGGCGTGAGGGGGAGCACCCCCTAAGAGTCCAGAGGTGGTGGGCACCGGAGAAGAGGAAGAGGTCCTCGTGATCTTCAGTGAGGGTTTGGGAATTTAGCCGGAAGGAGGGTGAGCGCTTTCAGGCTCGTAAGCGTGGAGGCGATAGGAGCATTCCGGAAGGATGTCTGAGAAGGATGGCTGGGGAGTCGGGAGGAGCCGGAGCAGGAAGTCCACACAAGTACCCTGAAGGTGCCATCTGGCTGGAATGAGCAACGGGTAAAGGTGGGGATGGGGCCACCGTATCGGGTGAGTTCAGGCTGCTCTGCAAAGACAGAAGCGGCCTGCCCAGAGCAGGGCTGGTGGGAGATGCGAGGGGCTAACGGAGAAGGGGTTTCTCTTGGGGGTGAGGACGTGGTCTAAAATTAATTGCGACAGTGGTGGCACAACTTTGTGAACATATTAAAAACCATTTCGTCGTACGTTTAAATTGGGGGAGGGGGGCGTGTGGATTACATCTCGACAAAGCTGGTTTAAAAAAAAAAAAAGAAAAAGAGGGGCACCTGGGTGGCTCAGTCTGTTGAGGGTCCGACTTCGGCTCAGGTCATGATCTCGCGGTCCGTGAGTTCGAGCCCCGCGTTGGGCTCCCTGCCGACGGCTCGAGGCCTGGAGCCTGCTTCAGATGCTGTCTCTCTCTCTCTCTCTCTCTCTCTCTCTCTCTGCCCCTCCCCCACTCGTGCTCTGTCTCTCAAAAGTAAATAAATGTTAAAAAATATTTTTTAAAAGAAAAGGGAGGGCGAGGGTGGATGGCCCTCGCAGAGGGCTCGGACGGGACGGGGGCAGGAGGCTCAGTGGGGGCACTTATGGCAGCATCTGGTGGGGGAAGCCGCGGGCCCCCTCACGCCCCCTCTCCCGCCTAGGGTGGAGTGGCCACCATGCGCCCCCGGCACCCAGCAGCGGCGCCCTGTCCCCCAGCCTGAGGTGCAGTGCTGCATCTCTGGTCAGTTGGGAGTCTGAGATGAAGCACTGTAGCTCGGGAAGGGAGAAGTTGTTCTGCAGCTGTCAGCCCGGAAGCCGTAAGTGGCCGCTGTGCTCGGGGCCACCAGGAAGGCTGGGAGTGTTTCCAGTCTCCATGCTGGCAGCTGCTTGTGCTGAGGAAGTTCCTGGACCCCAGGCCTGCCCGGGCCACTACCTGCTTCATGATTCGGGGCGAGTCCTGACCCCTCCGGGCGCCCCCGTTTGTCCAGCTGGAAGTGAGATGTTGGGGCATTCGGCGGTGGCCGTTATCCGGACAACCCCGCCTCTGCTTTCTGTCTCTGAGCCCATGGCACACACCTCTCATCAGTCAGGGCATCCTCTCTTGAGGAGTTCAGATGCGCCTTTCAAAATCCTTCCCAACACTAAGTCCTGGATAGCTACAGGCAATAACGCAGAGCTGAAACCCATTCATCCTGTGTGGACTGGACGGACAATTCCTAAAAACCTTTGCAGAAAGACCAAAGTCCCGAGCTTTGACTCAGACGCCTCATCCTTTGAGTGCCTAACCTTGGCTCCAGGCAACATCCGACCCGTCTCAGAGGCTTCAGGCAAGCATGGAACAGCAGAGGAGACTCTCTGGGCTAAGCACAATCTTATTGAACCTCCCAAGAAGCTTGGAAGGTGGCCAGTGTTACCGACCCCTTTTTACAGATGAGAAAACTGAGGCTCAGTTAAGCCGTTCCCCCAAGGCCACACAATGATCGTGTTAGTCAAGGTCGTAGCCTAATCTGTCCGCTTTCGGGGTCGCGTTCTTACCCAGTGCGTGTGATTTTGGAACCTGCGGGTGGGGGTGCAAGAGGAGGACATGATAAATGAACCTGGTCTTCTCCTTACATCCTGGGTCACTTTCAGCAAAGACAGACCTAGCCGGTTTCCACTAATCCTATGGACTGCCTTACTCCACCCCTCCTCCCAAACTGTATCTGTCTCACCTTATCCGGGAGGTCCTCTCCTGTCCCATTTTACAGCTGAGGAAAGCTGAGGTTACGCGGTTTTGCTGGAGACGACCAGGGGAGGAAGTTGCTGGAGACTGAGAACCGGATCTGCCCAGGGTTTAGACTCAAACCCTCCCTCTGGCTGGAGACTCGGGAATACATACAGCCCCCCGTCAGTCATGGGTAGGGAGGAGGGGGACGGCTGGGATGCCAGACGGTTTCTGGTCAACAACACGGCCTTTGACTGCAGGGAAGGTACTTTCCAAGGGCACTCGAAGTTCCAGTCACTCCTTCTGGAGCAATCAGCCAGTCCTGCAATGCGCGGCATCCACACTGGCTTCTGCAGATGGGGCCGGAAGCCGAGGAAGACTCCCGCTGGTCCTGAGGGACGTGGCGGGGCCTTGGTGCTGAAGGCCCCTCTCTCACCTTGTCCTCACGGTCCAGTTTTCCCAGGAATCCCTTAGATGCTAAGATGGGGATTCCTGGAAATACTGTTCTTGAGGTCATGGTTTAGCAACTGGACTCACCTCCTTCCCACCCAGAGCTGTCCCCGTGGGACCTCAGCTCAAGCACAGGACGAGGCTCCAGGAGAAGGCGGTGCGCTGGAGGTAAGAGGGCCTGCACGCGGTGTTCTTGACCTTTAAGCTGCTTTTTCTTTCCATTTTGTCCGATTTGTAACATTCCTGTGAGGCTGGATGTGGGAACTTCACCACCACTGTACTCTTGGGAAATCTGTCGCCGCACTAGGATGAGGAGTGTTTGAACCAGGTCGCCGTAAAGTACATGGTTCTCCCGGTCCTCACCCCTGCCCCTCTCCCCACTTCCCAGGGTGCCCTGTGGCAGGGGCCACGATAGGGCATCTACCTAATGGATAAACTAATGAACGGACGTGAATTTATTTTAACAGTTTATTAAATCAGTTAGAGAAACTAAAAACCATAAATCTTAGTTCCATTTGGAAAGCAACCACAGAAAAATGAAACTTTTTTCAATCAAAGCCCAGAAGACAAAAGGCCCAGAGCACCCTCTTGTGGTGATACCTGTCTCTACTTACTCCGGGAACACTGGGACCCTCCCTCTCTCTCACACACACACACACACACACACACACACACACCCTGTGAATGCATTAGCCCATCCATCACCTCATTACCTGTGATGCCTCCACCACTTACAGCTTACTTCTGTAACCTGGCTTTGTCCTCAAAGCTCTCAGTTGTGGTTGGTGAGGCTGACAGGTGAAATGACCAGCCCAAGTTCACCCAGGCAGCCAAAGGCACAGCCAGAGTTGATTCCAAGTTCGGTGGCCCACGGCGAGTCTTTAGCCAAAAGCAAAAACTACAAAAAAATAAAAATAAAGAGAAGCTCTGTCTGAACAGACGCAGGGAATGCAGTGAGCAAATGCCTGAGAGGCAGTCCAGGCGCTGCACTAGAACTTTCTGCAAATTCTTCCTAGTGCTTTTCAATGGAGTTGGTAGGGACAGTGGGTGCCGTGGCCCCAGAATCCTCACCTGCGGGTCTGATCCCTGTACTCCCCGGGGACCAGGTGGCTCTCACCTGTGACCTGGCCTGTCTTCCCGGCAGGCCACATCCTGCCTCAGACATTTAGGAAGGATGAGATCCCCTCCCCCTCATTCACAGACTGGAGCCGTCTGAGCACGGAGCTCGCTGACTCTCTCCTAATAAATAATCATAGCAGCTGCCACTCATTGACTGTTTGCAATCTGCCAGGCACCGTGTTAGACCCTTCACAGGCATTGTCTCACCCAGTCTCCCAACAACCCAGTGAGGAAGGTTCTGTCATTGACTCCATGTCACAGGCCAGGAAGGCAAGACTCGGACAGGTTAAGAGACTCGCCCAAGATCACCCACCTGACACTGAGCTGGGAACCCATCATGTCTGTGTTTATACTTCTAACCTGCCCTTGCCCCCTCCCTCCCACTGGCCTACCCTACCAGGCAGGGCTGTCTCCCCGGGGCTTCCCCGGGGAGGGGGTAAGACAACCCTCCGGTGAGACCCAAGCAGTCGGTTCTGTGCCCCGTGATTCTAATAAAGTGCTGGATCCTCGACTTGTGCCCTGTTTCTTTCTTGGGAACACGGGAGGAGGGGGAGGAGGAGAAGGCAGGGAAGAAACCGACAGCCTGTTTCCGTGTGTTTGGGCTGTCGCAGCAAAGTATCAGACTGGGGCAGCTAAGACAAGAGAATTTTATCTTCTCACAGTTCCAGAGGCTGGAAGCGGAAGATCAAGGCGTCAGCGAGGTTGGTTTCTTCTGGGGCCTCTCTCCTCGGCTTGTAGGTGGCCGTGTCTTCGCTCTGTGTGTGTGTCTGTGTCCTAATTTCCTCTTCTTATAAGCCAGTCATATTGGATCAGGGACCAACGAATGACCTCACGTAACCTTAATTACCTCTTTATGATTTTTAATGTTTGCCTATTTATTTTGAGAGAGAAAGACAGAGCGCGAGCAGGGGAGGGGCAGACAGAGAGGGAGAGAGAGAATCCCAAGCAGGCTCCGTGTCGTCAGCGCAGAGTGCAATGCGGGCCTGACCCCTCGAACCGTGAAATCGCGACCTGAGCCGAAATCAAGAGTGTGATGCCTGACCGACCTGAGCCACCCAGGCGCCCCCTTAATTACCTCTTTAAAGCCTCTATCTCCCAATACCGCCACATTCTGTGTCACTGGGGGTTGGGATTTCAACATGAATTGAGCTGGGGAGGACACAATTGAGTCTAGAACACAACCCCAGCTGAGATAATCCCTGAGTGCCTTGGTTGTCAGCTATTTCCAGAGGCCAGCATAGACATCAGTAAGGACCCACCTCGGGGCAGTCAGAAGCCCCAGGAAGTTTCCATGCTATGTCTAGAAACTCGGCTGTGGATGGTTACGGACGGAAGAGTCCCACAAGGTAAGACCCCCTGGGGTGGGACCAACTCGTGAACTGAGGAGCCTAGCCACGGCCACCTCTCCCCTTCAGCCCCCCAAAGTGTGACTGACCGGGTCCAATAGGAAATCACATCTCACACAGGTGTTAGAGTTCAGAGTGAACTCTGGACTGTAGCTGTCCCATGGGCATCACGGCCAACACTCGGGGTCATTTCATTTTTTTTTTTAACTTTTATTTATTTTGGGGAGAGACGGAGCAAGCAGGGGAGGGGCAGAGAGAGAGGGACAGAGGATCCAAAGCAGGCTTCTCACTGACGGCAGAGAGCCCCCTGCAGGGCTCGAACTCACGGACCGCAAGATCATGACCTGAGCCGAAGTCAGACGCTTAACCGACTGAGCCACCCAGGCGCCCCTTTTCTTCTTCTTTTTTTTTATTATTTTTTTAAATACTTGGGGTCATTTTAAACACACTCCCCCTTTAGCATGATCTTCTAAGCTCTGCTACATTTTGAGGGAAAAAATCCAACAACCTGACCTGACAATTCCCAAATGCACAAGGCCTCCCCACGTCTCTCCTTTGCACCCCAGAACAGGCTGAGGGGAATGCCTGCAGGTCTACGCTCCACTTCTGAGGAGCCCGAGATCCTGTGAGGGCCTCTGGCCACTTGAGAGCCGCAGGGAAGGAGAG